ATAGATTTCGGTAATCCGACTGAACTTAATTAATTCCGAAGATAATAAACAATAACGTTACTATATCGGAATTAAACGTAACTTATACTGATAATATCTCGGGATATTACATATTTTCTTAATAGATTATTTTCTTAATCGTTTATAATAGAGTTATGTGAATTGCACATTGATGACTATCAGATTGCACAATATCAAATGAAATCGACCAAACTTTTTTTTCGTAATTTTATATTACAAAATGATTATCTTTTCTTTTTCTTCATTTTATTTCAAATAATCGTTTATTTCGGCACGATGTCAGATTATTTTCTTAAATAACTGAAATAAGCGAACCAATTGGACTCTATAATAAATATTATATTTTATTTTCTGATATTTTTATATAAATGTTTATAATATTTTTTCACGTAAATTGTATATATATATATATATATATTACTAAATTTTGGTAAATTTATGAATCAACTGAAGCACAATTATGTAATTTTGTAAAATTATACCGATTCTTTTTAATGTGTGTTTATGCATGTGAGAATGTGCATTTTATGTTATGATGTTATGCACGTATAGTGCTTTTACTACATTGTACATTTGCCCCACATACTAAATTGTAATATATAAAACCTATTGTTCTTGCTTTTACTTAATTGCACATTTGCCCCACATATTAAATTTTAATATATAAAACCTAATGTTATTGCAATCAAGCCCTTTTAATTATCATATTTCCAATAAACAAAAAAAAAAAAAAACAGTAATCCCCAAAATCCTAACTATGTAGTAATCCACCAGGATGAGGATGGCTATGGCGGCAGACGGCGACAGGTGAAAAGAAGACAACCGGTGGGAGAGAGTTGATGAAAGAAGACAAACGGTGGGAGAAGACACATCGGTAGAGAAGAAAAGTCAAGTTGTCGGAAAACGGGAATCGGAAATCGGATGTCGAGCGTCGGGCATCTGGAGTCGGTCTGGTGGCTCAGCGCGATCGGGCATGTGCTTGATAACTCTGCGTGTGTGTGTGTGTGTAGGCTGGTGGGGGGAATGGCGTTGCTAGCGGCAGAAGGCGGACATCGCGACTGTATTGGCGGAGCATGGGCGACGGCGGACCACCGGTAGATATGGTGGAACAGCTTAGCTGTGGCGGGGCTGGCACTCCAGCGACGCCAAAATCCACTAGACCGGCAGGGCACGCATCGGCATTTGGGTTGGTGGCCGACCTGTGGCGAGTGGTAGTGCTAGTGATCGTCTGTCGTGTGTGTGTGTGTGAAGATATATATAATAAGTGGGTTGTGTTGTTGTGGGTGGGGCGCATTGATTAGGTGGTGTAGGTAAAATTACATAACTATTCTAAGATGACTATATTTGACCAAACAGATCTGAGTTATTTATGAATATGCCACTGCATCTTTGACTGTTTTTAAATAATTTTGACTCCATCTTAACCATTGATATTTTTGCCAATCTATAAGTGTTAAAGTCAATAAAAACCTAAATCCTTAGTTTGAATTTGTCAATTTATTACACAATTAATAAATTTTAGTAAATTACACAATTGGCACATGTACCAAATTAAAATATATTCAATCTTCATTAATTTGCAATTAGGCCTTACACATGATTTAATTTAAAAAATAATGCCCTAATCCCCAAGTCCATCTTCATCTTCCACCACCCCACCCGCCAACATCCAGCCCTCTCTGGTCGCGACATCCAACGTCTATGGGTTCAGCGCCTTTTTCGTTCGTCTTGGAGCTTCTCCCGTCGCGACCTGAACTCCATCGCCAACTTCCAGCCGAGAGAGTGAACTTGACGACGACCTGTGCGAGCTTCGCAACATTTGACGACGGGTTCCCGACGGCGGTGACCTGTTGCCGGAGTGTGTCAGAGATGGTTGTAACTGCGGAGCTCTTTCACGTCTGGCAGCGCGGCTGTGTCTGGTGGAGATGCGGCGGTGCCTAAGGTATGTTAGCGGTGGGAGGCGGTCGACGTTGGAGGTTCTATCAGACCTGCTGGTGGCAGAAGGCGGTCGACGGTGGAGGTTCTATCAGACTTGCTGGTGGCAGAAGGTGGTCGACGGTGGAGGTGCTCTCAGACCTTTTGCCGGCATGGATGCTGGCCAGTGGCAGTTACAGAGGCCGGCCGATTGCGGCTGAGACACATCATGTGTGTGTGGGTGTGTTTGCTGTTTTTATGTGTGCGTGTGTGTGTGTGTGTGTGTTTGTTGTTTGTGTATGTGTGTGTGTACGTGTGTGTATGTGTGTGTGTGTGTATGTGTGCGTGTGCGCGTGTGTTGTTTGTGTTTTGTGTGTGAGTGTGTATGTGATGATGTGGCGTGGGACCCACTGATCACTTGATTGGTTGGATGGTAATGGTAATGTCTAAATTACCCTTAATGAGTGTAAAATTTTAATTTTTTTTATCCGTTGGATCATCCAATCTAACGGATAAGATTAATTGAATTTCCCTTATGTCTAGAGGGAATGTTTCCTAGTCAATTGGCCATATGCAAGTTGTGTTTCATTAGAACGACCCACTAGACAATGTTATCACAAGCTACCAATCAATTAAAATGGCGGCAACAAGGGCAACTTGGAATATTGTGAATTAAATTACGTTGATCAGATTAGAAAATTGACTAATTAGTATGCACAAAATTTGGAAATTAATTTGATAATTTATAAAAGGGTTAATTGCTATTTAAATCTTTACTTTTTCGCGTTTGACAATTTAATCCAAACTTTTGGATAATTTCAATATAATCCTGACTTTGACTTACTTTGCAAAACGAACTTAATTTTTGTCGGATATTCAAAAAATGTCAGCGTGTCCGGCTGCTTATATCCATGTTAATCTAGGGAACATTTTCAAAGTCTTAATTGAGGATTTTTTATATTTATCCTAACTTATTAATTCCACATGTGAATCATGTCATCGCCACATAAGTTTTCAGTAACAAAAGTTCGCCACTCATTAAACTGAAAATCCAACGTGGATATAAGCAGCCGGACACGTTGTCATTTTTCGAATCTACAACGTAGATTAAGTTCGTTTTGCAAAAGTATGTCAAAGGCAAGATTATATTGCAATTATCCAAAAGTTTGGATTAAATTGCCAAACGCGAAAAGGTAAATGTTTAAATAGCAATTAACCCTTTATAAAACTAGTATTATATCATGTGCAATGACGGATAACATATGACCAGCGTGGGTCGGGGCCCACACTGAGTAATATAATATAATGTGAACATATAGATGGTCTACT